CTGCATGAGAATGGCTTTGAAACTTACCACGCGATGCTGAGCATCACAAACTAATCGTAAACAAATGTTCATTCATGAAGCATCTGCATGTAAGATCGGTAATTTTTAGGAAAAAAAACTTTGTTGCAAGGAAACAAATGCGAATTTGAAAGGATTACTGGATTTATTCTAGTTTGATGATCGTCATAAGGATAACAGTCACCTAGGGCTACATTTCGGTGCAAAAATCTTTTCAGTTTTTTCAAGTAAAAGCTTGCCAAAGCGACTATCTACGCGCTCATCAATTTTTGGCGCTGTTTTCGCAGAAAAGCAAACTTTTTTGAGCACTTTTTGGGCTAGAGTTCATGGCGCGCAGAGTTACTTGTCAGGCAAATCATAACTTTGCAAAAAGTCGAATTAGCGGCCCAGTTTTGCGTGCCAAAAGGCGCGTGGACCCGTTTGACGCGCAAATTTTGAGGGACCCGCTTATCGAACCGGCTCGTCCTTGTGCATGGTGGGCCTACACGCTGGCACGGTATGCTATGCAAAATTTCAGCCGGATAGCTTAGTTGCAGCTTCCTCTATGAATTTCGTGACAGGCAGATTTTCACACAGACACACAGACACACAAAAAAACAGACGGCCTTAGCGCGTTATTATAGTAGGATGTTCAAATCCGCTTCCAAAACCACCAAGGCACCGCTTCGATACAGCCCCAAATAGGGTTCACAGCGTTATGATCGGCCTCGAAAAGCGCGCTCCAATCGTAATCGGTTATTGTAGATTGTAAAGTTTCGCAGCTGACTAATAAATGAGTAGTATCTTAGATATATAAACGTCAAAGTTTGTGCAAATCTTGACCCTATGTTTTTTTATAGATTCCTTTGCGGATGAAACCCATTAAGTTAAAACCTTGATGACCCGGGCTGGACCAGGAAAGTCAGGTAGTACTACTACAATAAGCGCTGAGGCCGCCCATCTTATTATTTGTGTATATCTGTTTGTCAGGGACTTACGAGGGTCAAAAATAGGGTCAAAGGGGAAGTCGTAAGAAATTTTGGCTTCAAAGGGGATATCGTTTTCAAAATCTGAAACGCTACCTCCTGCCGGGCCCTGGATCGGATTACTGAACGCTCTCTTCGCTTCTGTGGGGATAAAGATTCCAGCATATAACGCCGCTGTGAGATACGCCGCGTAAAAACTCCACAAAAAAATCCTAAAATAGCACCAATTTGCTCATGCTACTTTCACTTTACCATTATAATTTTGAAGTTATGCAAGATGGAGCGTACAACTTTTCTGAGTTTTTTCAAAATGATTACGCCGATGAAAAGTTTCAACAATGAAGAGGACGGTAAAGTGAAAGTAGCATGAGCAAATTGGTGCTATTTTAGGATTTTTTGTGGAGTTTTTACGCGGCGTATCTCACAGCGGCGTTATATGCTGGAATCTTTATCCCCACAGAAGCGAAGAGAGCGTTCAGTAATCCGATCCAGGGCCCGGCAGGAGGTAGCGTTTCAGATTTTGAAAACGATATCCCCTTTGAAGCCAAAATTTCTTACGACTTCCCCTTTGACCCTATTTTTGACCCTCGTAAGTCCCTGACAAACAGATATACACAAATAATAAGATGGGCGGCCTCAGCGCTTATTGTAGTAGTACTACCTGACTTTCCTGGTCCAGCCCGGGTCATCAAGGTTTTAACTTAATGGGTTCATCCGCAAAGGAATCTATAAAAAAACATAGGGTCAAGATTTGCACAAACTTTGACGTTTATATATCTAAGATACTACTCATTTATTAGTCAGCTGCGAAACTTTACAATCTACAATAACCGATTACGATTGGAGCGCGCTTTTCGAGGCCGATCATAACGCTGTGAACCCTATTTGGGGCTGTATCGAAGCGGTTGCCTTGGTGGTTTTGGAAGCGGATTTGAACATCCTACTATAATAACGCGCTAAGGCCGTCTGTTTTTTTGTGTGTCTGTGTGTCTGTGTGAAAATCTGCCTGTCACGAAATTCATAGAGGAAGCTGCAACTAAGCTATCCGGCTGAAATTTTGCATAGCATACCGTGCCAGCGTGTAGGCCCACCATGCACAAGGACGAGCCGGTTCGATAAGCGGGTCCCTCAAAATTTGCGCGTCAAACGGGTCCACGCGCCTTTTGGCACGCAAAACTGGGCCGCTAATTCGACTTTTTGCAAAGTTATGATTTGCCTGACAAGTAACTCTGCGCGCCATGAACTCTAGCCCAAAAAGTGCTCAAAAAGTTTGCTTTTCTGCGAAAACAGCGCCAAAAATTGATGAGCGCGTAGATAGTCGCTTTGGCAAGCTTTTACTTGAAAAAACTGAAAAGATTTTTGCACCGAAATGTAGCCCTAGGTGACTGTTATCCTTATGACGATCATCAAACTAGAATAAATCCAGTAATCCTTTCAAATTCGCATTTGTTTCCTTGCAACAAAGTTTTTTTTTCCTAAAAATTACCGATCTTACATGCAGATGCTTCATGAATGAACATTTGTTTACGATTAGTTTGTGATGCTCAGCATCGCGTGGTAAGTTTCAAAGCCATTCTCATGCGAACATGAGAAAGGCATACGGATAGGGAGCCAGTGCGAACCTCCGCGAAGCGGAGGTGACGAACTGGTATAGTAATACTCTCGACCTAGTCCACATTTATGTAAAGAAATCCGGGAAATTATGTGAAGGGAAGCAGGGAGCCACCCCAACTCAGATAATCGCCGGGGGCAGGCGGTCCGCAAACTCGCGCTTTTCTGCAGGCGGTCAGCAGAATTTTGGGGCGTGGCCAAACCTTCAGCGGGCGGCACTTCTCAGATAATCGCCGGGGGCAAGCGGCGATGCGATTTATGGGCAGGCGGGCACCGGAAAAATAGTTCGTTGATTTTTTGCGGCCCGCTTGCAGAAATTTGGAAGAAAGTTGGCGAAATTAAAGACGAAAGCTTGAAGAACAATCGCGGTTTCTTTATGGATTAGCTGCGGCGCAGTGGCCGCATTCTCGCGGACTTTCCGCGAGAATATGCAAAAATTTCGAGGGCCGCACGGTCCTTTGTGGAGGACCGCTCAACGCTCAGGTACTTTCCGCTGAGAGAAAGTACCTCAAACTTGAGTAACTAAACCAACGGTGACACCTCAGCCACACAGAGTCTTACCTGCGCTCGACGTACCCCCGAAAATGCTTAAAAAGAGTCCGAGCGCTTGCTGAAAATTTGGCCAGCGCTCGCTGAAAGAAATTATTTGCGGAGCGCTTGCAGGAAATTTTGTATTGCTGCCCGCTGGCAGAAGACGAAAGTACCGCCCGCTGAAGGTTTGGCCACGCCCCAAAATTCTGCTGACCGCCTGCAGAAAAGCGCGAGTTTGCGGACCGCCTGCCCCCGGCGATTATCTGAGTTCCTTCTCAGACAATCGCCGGGGGCAGGCGGGCACCGGAAAAATAGATTGCTGATCTCTCGCACCCCGCTCGCGGATTTTTTGGAAAGGAATCAGGACTTTTCGGAAGACCGCTTGCTGAATTCTCGATTCCTCAGAGATTCAGCAATATATCTGCAAAAGATAAGAGCGAAAAAAAATTCAACAGGCGGTCTCTCAAAAATCCGCTGACTCAGCAAGCGGTCTTCCGAAAAGTCCTGATTGCTTTGCAAAAAATCCGCGAGCGGGGTGCGAGAAATCAGCAATCTACTTTTCCGGTGCCCGCCTGCCCCCAGCGATTGTCTGAGTTTACGGTCGCATATTCTGCCAGCGGGCAGCAACACAGCATTTTTTGCAAGCGCTCGGCAAATAATTTCTTTCAGCGAGCGCTGGCCAAACTTTCAGCAAGCGCTCTAACTCTTTTTAGGCATTTTCGGGCGTACGTCGAGCGCAGGTAAGACTCTGTGTGGCAGAAGTGTCACCGTTGGTTTAAATACTCAAGTTTGAGGTACTTTCTCCCTGCGGAAAGTACCTGGGGGTTGCGCGGTCCTCCACAAAGGACCGTGCGGCCCCCGAAATTTTTGCATATTCTCGCGGAAAGTCCGCGAGAATGCGGCCACTGCGCCGCAGCTAATCCAAGAAACCGCGATTGTTCTTCAAGCATTCGTCTTTAATTTCGCCAATTTTCTTCCAAATTTCTGCAAGCGGGCGGCAAAAAATCAACGAACTATTTTTCCGGTGTGCGCTTGCTCAAAATTCGCATGGCCGCCTGCCCCCGGCGATTATCTGAGAAGTAGCTCCCAGGTGGCGCGGGAGCCACCTAATTTCGAAAAACACCATTTTTTAAATTCACATAAGTTTCTCATAATTCTTCATACTTTTTTTTTGCTCATGGTCCTCCAACTACACAGCAAATTTGGTGCCATATCGTTACTTGTGCATTGAAAACGAACTTATTTTGTTATCCTCTTACAAGAATTGCGATTTGAATTCCCGCCTGCGGGCAGGCTTGTGAAATCGCCACCCCCGCCGGGCCCTGATCCGATCCATACGGTGAATCTAAGAAGTTAGCTCTACAGAATGGCACCTTGCAAACGGCGAAAGACATCAGAAGTAGAGAGGTATCAGCGATCAAACAGTGTGCACATTTTTGAGACTCCCGTAAATGCACCTTGAAAGTCTTAAACAATTGTGTGTTACTCTCACAATAAGGCTCGCATATCTTGCCAAATACGATTTTTCTATTGTTCTTTTCTACTGTCAAGTTATAGATGATGTTGACAATCTGCTCTGCTTCGTCTAAATATTGTTTTCTGTGCATCGAACCTCCGTCTTTTGCCAGCAATAGAACATATATTATCATAGGAGCAGCTAAATAAAACTTTGTTACGTCGCACACACCAGTAAAACTATTTAGATGTACGCTTTATGATTTGGACTGATTTGAAAGAACTGACTAGACGGGTGTCACTTATTGTCTTAGCCGCTTAGCCACTTCATCCGCTTCGCTGATTGGTCCACGATTTTGACCAAGCTGATTACTCAAGCACTGATTTTGGCGGAGTGATTAAGTAGCGAAGTTGATCAAGCGGCAAAGCGGTAAAGGCAGAAATAAAAAACCAAAATCTGGATGTCGGAATTTTTCACATTACATGCTTTCTTGACTTTGTGTAACCCTCTCGAATTTGAGTTGGACCAAATTTCCCCAGAAACTCGTTTTTTGGCGCGCCACGGAGGCAACTTGGACGAAATGTGCTTTTATATAGCCTGCGCGCAGGCTTGGAAAGATGTGTTGGAATACGAAATCGGCGACACTAGCGCTGGCCAAATCGCCCTTTGCGGGACACTTGGGATTTTCTTGGGACAGGCTAGGCCAAATCGAGTCGCACTTGAGCAATGGCTTAGCCACGGCGCCTCTAACAGAGTATATGGGAGACCTGTACTACCTCAATTTTGGTGAGACACTGCCTTGGAACGAATAAGTCTCGCATCTGCTTAACTAAGACATTGCCCCATCTCACGCTCAGATCGTATCCTGAGAAACTGATTGGTACGTTCCGATGGAGTGCGGTTGGAGTGAGGATTTAGAGCTGAGTTCTCGACGATGAGAACCTTATGAGATGACGCTGAAGCAAAAGCTGGCAAAGGCCTTCCATTCAATATCCGAGAAGTCCAATTCAGACAGTCGAAGTGATACCTCCGGAGGGCAAATGGAGGAGATCTGCCACTTCGTACTCCGGAGCCCTCCCATTTCTCCCATTTTGGTGCTCCGGGGCTCTCCCAAATCTGGCGCACCTCCGCAGCAGAGATTTGCGCGTCTCGGAGAGGGGTCCCATTCGCCCCGCCTGCTTGATGTCACCGTGACGTCACGGTGACGTACGGTGAACGAATGGGACCCCTCTCCGAGACGCGCAATTCTCTGCTCCGGAGGTGCGCCAGATTTGGGAGGGCCCCGGAGTACCAAAATGGGTGAAATGGCAGGGCTCCAGAGCGCTCCAAAGCGCGAAGTGGCAGACTCGGTCCATTTGCCCGCCGGAGGTATACCTTTTGTCTGAGTTTCCGCTTCTTGTTTTAGCATGGACTTTTGCCGCTGCTGAACAAACCAGAGATTACTCACTAGAGCCTCCAGAAAACTGCCGCATAACTTCAGCTTCGTGACGTGATCTTGCATTCAAGGCTGTGTATCCTTCTCGTATGCTGTCTCGTAGAGATATCCTCATCGTACCCAGCGTAGTCAGTGATAATAGCATCTAGAAGAAGAATTACTCGGCCAGCTTAAGATTCGCAAGAAGTATAAATAAATATTTTTCGTTTGATTACTAAAGTATATAATCTAAAATTACATGCTTACCGAAAGCAAAAGGAATAATCGAGGATATTTTCCAGCGCAACTTCCAAGTTTGTAAAATAGCACGCCAGCATCGACGATATGATACAATCTTGTGCAAAGTGTGACCGTTGTTGTTTCTAAGCAGTTAATGTAGTTTGAGAGATATTCTAGACGATCGAAAAGATGTGCTTTGTAAACTTGAGAAGCTTGTTAGCAACAATGCGAAATGATCCCTATTTGTAAGAGCTTATGGCACTAACTTCGTGGAAAAAAGAGGTCTGCTTTAGGAGGAGCAAGTTGGGGGCGGGTTCTGATTGTGAGGTCGAGCTTTGGATCGATCTAGCCCTGGACTACACCAGTACCCAGATGGATAAATTTAGTATTTGGTAAAGTGTAATCACTGATAGTAAACTCACCCTTTGAGTTATATACCTTTCGCTCAAGATTTACATGGGTTTGATTATCGGTTTTTTCGCCTGATTTGACCTGGAGTCAAAACAAAGAGTGTTAAGTTTGAAATAGCCTCAAAAGTCGTAGTTAGTAACTGACATCTTCCTTAGTTCCAGTCAAGAGTCGGTCCGCGGAATCCCGACTAACTTTGGTTCCGCTCAGGAGTGGCTCTGCAGAGTCTCGATTGACAGCTTCTTTAGTTCCACTCAGGTCGCGGTCCGCGGAGCCTCGACTGGCAGCTTCTTTAGTTCCACTCAAAAGTCGGTCCGTGGAACCCATAGTATCTCGCGAATCCATGTCTCAGCATGAGAGAGCGATTTTAACCTAGTACGGCGTGAGTATGGTAAAGAATGAAGCAACCAGTGAATATAAAGAAGCTATCAGCGACTTGTTTTCAAAATCATCTGTTATCTTTTATCTACGCAAAATTATCTTCTTATCTAAATTGCATACGAGGGTGCCTTATTAGGGGTGGGGGAACGAAAGCCGCAAGTTTGAGCCGACTTTCGCGGCCAACTGGTCCTTTCGCAGTTTTGTATGTCGTTCCAGGACCAGCAGTCCGAGGAGGCGGCCCAACTGGCGGCTTTCGTTCCCCTACCCCCTTATTAGAGCTGACAGTAGAAGTGACCTTTCATGGCTAAATTTTCTCAGAATGCAGAAGATGCAAGAGTGATCTAGAAAACCTGTGAAGACGTGTCCGGATTGATGGACATATGGAGAAGGTATAGGCGGGTATCCATTGAAAATCGTTGTTTTGCGGGCCAATTTCAAGGGCATGGTACCCGGACATAATTCCTTCGATTGGCCTGGTCTTTCCATAATCCGATAGAGCAAAATTAATCTAAAAAATCTGCGAAGATGTATCCGGTTTGAGCATCTGGAGAAGTTATGGATGGGTTTCGGTACGGATAAGAGGAGGAGGGTATGAAGAAGCGAGTTGCGACTACTACTGGGGATCAAGTGAAAATTGACCGAACTGAAAACGAGGCATTTCTGCATGTTTTGCTCGAAATTAAAGTAATTTATACTGTTCATTCCTCATTTGGAGCTCTGCTACATCATGTGATCTTTTACCAAAGATACTTTTATTGTTCTATCAGTGCATATGTTTTTGCTTACATGCTTTTTTGATGACTAAACAAGAGAATATGTGTTTTTAGCAAGCAAGTGCGATTAGCGCAGTGGCCGCAGGCTGTCAGATCTGTGTACGTCAGACATTCGCGGTTGACGACCGCAGCAGATCCGCCCACTTTCGTTTTGTTTCGGGACATAATTTTGTCCTGGCTGACCCGACTCCACCGGCAAATTGGCCGGGATTATCCGACGTGTATCAAGACAAAATCGTTCGATCGATCGGATTTGTGAGTCGATCGGGTTTAACTTCGGCGGTAAAAAGGTTGCCACAACCTTGCCAAATGAACCAACCAACCACCACACGAACAACACACGTTTATTGCCGATTACCTCAAACTTGGGTAATTAAACCGCCATTCCTTGAAATATACACACACATAAACAATGAAGCAAATCAACATGAAAAAGTGAAAAAATCCCTAACAAATAGTTGGAACTGATATCGATAAGTCAAACCAAAATGATATGTTGGTATCTTTTATACTACTTGCAGGAAATGTGCAAAAGGAGATTAGAAAACTTAAGATAGGAATGTTTTCCAATGGGCTTTCTACGTACAAGGAGTGAGCGAATAGAAAGGCAACATAAGCAATAAGTTTAAGTGGTGAAAACTGCATGAGTAACAATGACTAAGTATATATAGACGTTCGCTTGCTGGCACCATCAATCCTTCTGCAGCTCCAATCGTTTTTATGTGTAGTCCGAGATCTTTTTGCCGAGTGGGAAGTCGCATCTGGCATCGTGGATCCATTCCTTGGCATTCCGCAACTAGCTTCTTTTATTTAGCAAGCATTGCCATCCGTGAACGTCTCAGCTGATATTGAGGGGTCATCGGATGCTCTCATGCATTATCTTGCTCAATCGCATCGCGATCCGCGATAGGCGGTCACGCTTAATTTCATTTTCATGCATTAGCGGTAGCCGGCTCCTCCGTCTCACTCATATCGTATATTTACCACGTATGTCTTACGTCGTTTATTGACCCTTGTTTCAGCATTTCTAATGCAATTCACGACGTTGCATCCCAGTAGAATATCATTTTCCATTTGAAACCAGTGCTTTGTCAAAGAAGAAAAAGATGCTCGCTCACTGCTAACCTTGTGGAAGTACTGCTACTACGTTTTGCAATTCTCAGGCTTTATGTAAGGCATGTTCAAGCGATTCTTCTTACTTCGATTCGATTATTTTGCTTTTTTGATCGAGACGGCACTTGTCGGTAATTTGCCGGAAACTGTAACTATGCTCTATACTTACACTTTTTGACGTTTTGGGAAGATCAGTTTTGGTATTCGAGTAAGGGTTCTGACTCATTTTAGAAAAGGAATGAACTTGCTGTAAACGCTTTTTTCACTATTTGATCTTCCACCTACTTTGAAATAAACATATTTAAGGTGACCTCTAAAATCTCATGTGAAACATGGCAGATTTTCATACAGGTCTTCTTTTTTTCTGTTTTTGTTGCTCCTCTGCAGTTCTACCTCTCTCCATCATTGTAAGCTGCAGTTGCATTGTAAGTTTTTCATGCTTCATCTAACGCTGGTCTCGCCCGGGTGGATGTAAAAAACTCCTGTGGAGGGTACTAACGTTCGCGTTTGTTTTCAGAGCTGACATACGTTAATACGAATTCGATGCAGTCCTCCTTACGCGCATGCCCCTCAAGGTAAGTTTCTTTTACTTTTTCAGAGCTGTGATGTAATTCGTTCTTTTTCAATCTCACAAGGGATGGATACTTGGTCGAAGTAGCGTTCCCATACAAAATGTATACTGCTCAATACAGTATGGAAGGCTGTTCGAATCTACTTTCGGTATCTGCAAAGCGCTTCTGGGATGGGAGTTTTGAAAAAGTTTTGATGCAAAACTTCGAAAGCGCCGCTACAATAAAATCATACGGAACCTTAGTCCGTGAGTTCAAATGGGTCCATGATTACCTACCAGGGCGTTTTATGAACAAGGCCTCCTATCTAGTAAACTCATGTCAGTTATTATCCTTTCAAACGCCAAAAAGACCTTAACACCTATTTTTATCTTAGCCAATCATTGAATTTCTACCTCAAAAAATTCGCAAACTCCCCTCCCAAAAGCGCTTTGCAGATACGAAAAGCGGATTTTCAATCAGAATTCAATGCTCTATAAGATCATATACATCTCATATGGAAACGCCACTTCGACCAAGTATCCTTTCTTTGTCAGAAAAAAAGAGTGATACCACCTAGGAAGACACGACAGTCGAAAAGAAGGAGTTCCGGGACTAGCCTGAGGAAGTCTGATTTTCCTTTTCCTCTTTTTGCTCAGCGATGTACAATTTGTTGTTAAGATTTCGTTGTTGAGACTATTGTTATCGTTTGTCATGGTTTTGTCGTTGAGTTAACTTGAGATGAATAGATCTGTGTCGATTCAGTCTCTGTGGTTTGCTCAGTATGGAATTTATGCCTTAAATTTGAACAATACTCAAGAGTGCCCTACGACTAGAATCACGCCCCATGGTCGCTTCGGAAATCCTGCATTCAACCGGTGTTTCACTTGCGTTTGACCGGAAAATGTGCTGCAGGAGAATTCCGAAAAACGCAGGTGACAACTGCTCGACCGGCATTCCTTCGGCAGTTTTGTCCCGGACCAATATCCGGATCGTTCCAACCGTAACGGTGGTGTTCCGCATGTCTTCAATGAGTCGAACTCCGTTTTACCTGCGGTCTCAACCGCGAGTGTCTGAGACGTTGTAAGCGGCCCAATTTTGTCGGGCAGGCGGAGAGAGGCGGCTAAGCAGGTGGGCGGCGTGCCTCTAGAGGACGGACGCAGTGCCTTTAGCGGCCGAGAGGCATGATCGTTCGCCCACTAAAAGCACTGCGCTCGTCCGAATCATTGCCTGAATCTTGGCAGTTTTCTTTCGTGTTCTAACAGGTGCCCTTCAAGGTAGAGGCCCTCTCGTCGACATGTTTAAACCTGCGGCGCAAGCTAAAGTGAAAAAGCATATCTCGTAATTGCTTCTTCGTGGTCGAAAAAACGGGGTTCCTGGGAGTTTCATGCAAGGTTGAACCCGCTTAGGATTAGGTAGGAATGGAAAAGATTCATGACATATAATATGCAGAAATCCTGATCCAATTTTTGGTAAGGCACTGCCTTTGACAAGTCACAACAAGGAACTTCAGTATGCCGAGTATGAATGCCAATCGAACAGGACAACGCGATTACAAGTAATTCCCGTAGAAAGGTTTATCTACTTGCAAGGTTCACTTCGATGAATGAAAGCCTGACGGGGAAATGAGCTTGAACATTAGATCTATGAAGTAGAGTAGTCGAGCCACAAATGGTGACACTATCAAAACTGAAATTAAAGTGGTATTTGCCTACTTTGTTGGATCATCGGTCTCTCACTTACCGTCGTAGTCTGGATAGGCCGCGCTGTGCTGGTCACGATAAAAGATTGTGGATTTTTCCCACGTAGTAAAACAAGCAATCTTCGGCGAAGATTTTTATTGAACGCGAGATAAATAGTTGGATTGGCCTAGGGGAGGCGATTAGCAACCAATATATTTTAGCTGTATTCTTACCGCGCTATTGACCAACGTTAACGAAGTCATTGCGAAGAACAACCATTTCGATAAGGGCATATAGGGTAGAAACTGCCAAATCAACCATGTCAGCACGTAAAGCAACGATGTGGCAAGAAACTGCAATTTTAAACTTTGATTCGAAGTGCTCCCATTATGTAGAATGTATCGGAGACACACGATTTGTTTAGCATAGCACAGGGCATCCGCTCCGATGAATCGGATAGCTTTTGAAGCATAGTCTGTTTTTAGAAGATCAAAAACGTATTCTAAGGAGCGCCTGCATGGTAGCTTATCAGATTCAATACCTAATATAATGTTCTCAGGTTACTGACAACATCTGCGCAAACATTGACGCTATTCTACTCCTTGGCCAATTTTCCTGCACAAGTCACAAGCAAAGAGACGATGTTCTTGCAAGTAAACTTTATATTTTTCTCTAGACTTGCTATAAAATTTTCAGTTAAAAACGCATCACAAAATGGTACATGAGGGTAATCGACGTCTCTATTTTTCATTCAGAAACGGCTGGCTAGCATTTAGCCAGGGAAGAAACATCCTTCTACCTGAACAAGCAATCGCGTCTCCATTGTGCTCGTTTGCTCATTGACGATAGTGCTGCTCACAAGTTGCTGAAACATTTTATTCCGTTTATTTCAACGCAAATTTATGCTGTTACCTGTGAATTACGCTGAATTTTTCGGACCGTGCATAGCACAGCAGCATAAGAAATAACAGACACCGCGAGCACAAGAACGTTAAGATACAAATCCAGAGTTCCGTACCTGAATTGAAATTAAGTCGTTCCGTCCAAGTTAATCTTCACTTTCAGTAAGTTGTCTATGAAATTATTTCCGATTTCAATCCTAAATTCAGTATTCAAGAACTCTGCTGTGCTCGCTAAGCTGTTTTTTGTGTTCGACGGCATCTTCGAAGTCAAGTGTGTAGCTGCTGTACTTTTGAATGTGTGAGCTATATTATTACGCGTGTGAAAGGGACACAGGACCGCTAAGGATGGTCTGCTGTGTCAGATATATACAATACCGCTCATAATTCGTCAAAAAAGTCACCGAACTACGGCGGACTTCGCCGGAGTGCGGCAGAGTGCGCCACACTCCACTAGAGTCCGCCGGAGTGCGGCAGAGTGTGCCACACTCCACTAGAGTCCGTGAGAATCCGCGTCGCATCGCCATATATTGCTTCAGAATGGACGAATTTTGAATCCGAGGACACCGTTCGATTCAGCTAGGGGCGAGACGCATCATCTAGTTTATAGGAGTGGCACGATCTAGCGGGATATGATAGGTATACGCTAGACAGTAAGTTTCCGCTCAGTTTTGCAGTTTTTTGTTTGTTTGGATTGTTCAGTCGGCTGACAACAGTATTGCCATTGATTTGTCGCTGATGACACATAGAAAGTATACCGGAGGAGTACGGTAGAGAATCACACTGATCGAATTTGTTCTAAAATCTGCTCAAGATCACAATACCGCTCACAGAATGTGTAAAATCTTCGTGAACTTCGCGGAATTCCGGGACTTAAGCTTAAGTCCGCGACATTCTGGGAATCCCACGACACTCCAGGAATCCGCGAAATAACGGATTTCATGCAAAATACGCAGCACCATAACTTCCTTCGGCATGAATATATTCTGAATCAGGAAACAGCATTGTGTTCAGATCGTCAAGGCGAATATTTTGGTATACTGCATGTCCTCGATATTCCGTTTCCAGTTTTCTTAAATTTTTCTGTGGAGGTCCCTTTGCAAGATTATAACGCAGCGTCTGTATATTATAATGTATTATAATAGATTTCAGTGCAATATTCGATAGCATTGCTCCTGTAGCTTATCGTGCGCTAAGTAGTAGCCGCAGACTTCTTTCAAAAAGGTATCTAGAAGCGCCGGTGAATTCTGGAAAAATCACGCGTTTTTAGGTTCTACTCGCCATAACTTCCTTCGGAATAAGTATATTTTGAATCCGAAAACAGTACTGTGCTCAGCTCATCAAGGCAAATCTTTTGATATAAAGCATGTCCTTGATATCTTGATTTCAATATTCTTGAATCTTTCTGCGGACGTCTCTTCGCGAAGGTGTAAAGCTGCGAGCATTGTCCCGAGTAAATTCCGGCAAGGACCTTTCGATAGTACTTGTCCTGTAGATTATGATGCACCAAACAGTAGCCGCAGATTTCTTTTCAAAGGAAATGGAAGGGCTGGTGAATTGTGGAAAAATCTTGTCGTCCCAAATTCTACTCGCCATAGCCCTAGATTACGAAGCTCTTTTGCTAAGCAGATGTGATTATCGTAATCAGCAGGTCGGATAACCTCTATGAGCAAGTTTTCCGAGATGTTCGGGTTATTTCATTTTTTCCCGTTTTACTCAGATAATCGCCGGGACAGGCGGCTATGCGATTTATGGGGGGCGGGCACCGGAAAAATAGTTCGCTCATTTTTTGCGGTCCGCTTGCGGATATTTGGAAGAATCTTAGCGAAATTTTAGACTAATGCTTGGAGAACAATCGCGGTTTCCTTATAGATTAGTTGCGGCGCAGTGGCCGTATTCTCGCTGAATTTCCGCGAGAATATGCAAAATTTTCGCGGGCCGCACGGTCTTTTGTGGAGAACCGCGCAGCCCCCAGGTCCTTTCCGCTGAGAGAAAGTATCTCAAAGTTGAGTAATTAGATCATCGATGACACCTCTGCCATGTAGAGTCTCACCTTTGCTCGGCGTACGCCCGAAACTGCTTAAAAACCGTCCGGGCCCCAGCTGAAAATTTGACCGGCGCTCGCTGAAGGAGATTATTTGACGAGCGCCTGCAGAAAATTCTGTGTTGCTGCCCGCAGAACATTAAACAGTAAAGGAAGTGCCGCTCGCTGAAGGTTTGGTCATGCCCCAAAATTCTGCTGACCGCTTGCAGAAAAGCGCGAGTTTGCGGACCGCCTGTCCCCGGCGACTGTCTGAGTAAGCTCTGGAAGCTCGCCGATGGGTCTTGGTCCTTTGCCCACAATGTAAAGATCGCATACTTCGTCGAAATTCTACCGTGACTGGTTGTACAAAACGTTAATCAAATCTGTTTAATCGCTTGCTGGATCTTCCTGCGCTGTGACAGTTAGATAGATCTGAGCTTTAGCCGCGAAGCTGATTCAACAAAGCAGCTGAAGCACACTCAACCATCATATTCAGTGTGAGAATCATTGAGCTCTTGCTATTGAGCGAAGCGAACATAATATCCGCAATGCGAGTGTCATACAAGCATCACGGTGGAATTTCGACGAAGTATGCGATCTTTACATTGTGGGCAAAATGCATGAGGAAGTGTTTTCGTAGGCTAGTAACTCGGCGATTTCTACAGACTGGAGCTTGAAACATGCACCGTTCGATGGCACACTTCCTAATTACTTTAACCTTTATAAGCAGTCAAGCAGGTTCTCTGACAGGTACGCGAGAGGTGCAGGCAAATTTGCCCGCTTTCGTGATTTAGTTACATTTACCTCACCGTATCTCTCCAAAAAAACCTTGTAGTTCTCAGAGACCACGATTTTCGTAAAGAGCGTGTTCGATAACCTCTATAAGCGGAGTTCCCTTACAATTCAGAAGTATCAACATTTTGACCAAAATCCTTCGGCGAGCTTCCAAGAGCCTAAAACGAGAAAAAATGAAATAACCCGAACATCTCGGAAAACTTGCTTATAGAGGTTATCCGACCTGCTGATTACGGTAATCACGTCTGCTTAGCGAAAGAGCTTCGTAATCTAGGGCTATGGCGAGTAGAAATTGGGACGACAAGATTTTTCCACAATTCACCAGCCCTTCTATTTCCTTTGAAAAGAAATCTGCGGCTACTGTTTGGTGCATCATAATCTACAGGACAAGTACTATCGAAAGGTCCTTGCCGGAATTTACTCGGGACAATGCTCGCAGCTTTACACCTTCGCGAAGAGACGTCCGCAGAAAGATTCAAGAATATTGAAATCAAGATATCAAGGACATGCTTTATATCAAAAGATTTGCCTTGATGAGCTGAGAAAAAAAAACGTGGCGCCTCGAGATCGAACAGAGAGAGAAGTAAAGTGCACTTCGAATGATGCAACACCCGCACTGCCCGGCCCGCCAAGTCGGCGAGTGGTCCTGCCGCGAGCAGGGAGCGCGGCAGACAACAATATTCAAAACAACAAGAAACAATATAAATGGATCAAACGAACTATCGCACACATGCTATCATCCTCAATCTCATCTTTACATGCCGCTCCTCGAAAAGAGTCGCCTCCGGAGACTCGTCGATAGTCCTGTCCTTGTTCCGCGGGTGGGGTTTGCTCCAGGCGCATCTTCCTCCAGTCCCGAATGTGCGTAAATTCCGGCTTCGGCAGTCTTCTTCTGTTCACGCCTTCGTCGTTCCCTTGATCGGCGCCCATTTTCTTCTTCTTCCTGTTCCGTGACTCGAATGTCGGCAAGTTCGATGCAGCTTCTCGAAGTCCAGGGTGCGTCGCTAAACGTAGCTTCGTAATCGCGTCTTCCATTGGTCCATGTTGATCCATCTGCTTGGCGTCGTATCCTGCTAGCGTCATGTTGGCACGCTCCTCGCAAATACCGCATTCGCAAGGATGAAGACAACGTAGCAAGTCCATCGGTTCTCCGACCTCGACTCTGCAACACGAAACTTTTAGGTTCGAGTTTGCAACTTTTCTAAGGCTACCCCTTTTTGCTTTGTCCTTAGTTGCCCTTACAGGCTTATTGTCAATATTCTGGGGCTTACTCAGCTGATCCGGAACGCACTCAGGCTTATCATTCGCCTTTATCTGCTGCATCAAGGAGCTAGTACTTTCACTCAATTCGTTCACTTCAGATGGCCCTGTCTGATCGTTGACCGGCTTGAGGTGTTTTGATCGAGCTTTCTTCGTGGGCACCTTCATATCCACCCGCTCGCCTGAGTCAACGGTCTCTCGTTGACTTTGCTGTTTCTGAATGAAAGTTTCTGCTTCCGCACCGGTTCATTTCTATTTTTCCTTGATCGCTGAAAAGGACGAGACACTCTTCTCGGTGAATTTGATGTGGTCCGCTCTACAACTTCACCGACACGGTATATTCTTGGTGCCAATATATTGGTGGCGGGGCTTCTTACTGCACCATTTGCAGTGTTGCAGTGTGAACCTGGAACTGACGCATCGCTAGACCGCAACACTTGTGTCCGTTTGGTCTGCCTCAGCTCCAGTCCTTTGCTTCCGCCAGGTCTACTGTAGACACATGCGGCTACTTTGGCGTGCCGCGATTCCATAGCCTTCTTGGGATTTCTGGCACGCTTGCTATGCCATGCCCCTTGTTCTGGTGATTTCCTATCGCCCTTGCAGGGCTGACCTCCTCTGCGGATCGAATAGCCGAGTGCGTGCAGGATATTTGTCCCCAGCACTACCCTATTATCTCCTCCTTTTCTAACAAAAAAGGCAGCTCGGCTTCGAGTTCCGTTGTTTATGCTTAAGGTCAGACGAATGGCACCTTTGAATCTCATCAAATTGCCGGAAGCATCGTAAACTGGTGGATACTCCTGTGGCGGGATCTGTTCCACATCTCTATCTATGTTGAATCCTTTTTGCTGTGCTGTCAACAGCAGATCGAGAGGCATAATACTGATTTGTGATCCAGAATCTACCAGTGCTTCCCTTTTCAGGCCAAGAAACTTTACCGTTTCTAACGTCTGGCTGCCCATTAGATCACTAGCTTTCTTCCTTGCGACAGTACTGCATGCCCAGTGCCGCACTACGGTGGAAAAAGATCCTGCATCAGGTACATTCGTGGCGTTGCCTTTGCCTCCTTGTGGCACCTCCCCTAAACCTCTGGGAGTGTACTGGGTGCTTGACGTTTCCTTGCAATCCCTTTTAAAATGTCCAGGCTTCTTGCAGTTGTAACACAGCAACTCTCGCTTCTTTGATTCGTTTTGCTGCATGTTCTGGTTGGGGTTTTCCTGCTCTGCATGTTCCTGGTACTCCTTCTTCACTATTGTTTGATCCATGTGCTCGTGCCCCTTTGTCATTTGTCGTCCGAGAGGGAATGGTTTGGGCTTGCCCGTGGCCTCCTGCTTCAAGTGCAGTGCCACTTCCCTACTCCTCTCTATCCGCTCTGCAAGGGCCTTGAGCTTCTCATATGCTTCCTCCGTAGAAGTCTGTTCTACCTCTGTAAAGAGTTGAACATACTCCGGCCAGTCCGTGAGTTGTGCGATCAGTTCTCCAGTACGCAATATGGAAAGTTCTTTTTCCGCCGATTCTGGATAGGCTGTCCTTGTTAATTGTTCCAGCCGCGCACAGTGCTCCGAAATATTTCCGGACGATCGGAGGTTTTTGAGGCTAACGTATGCCTCCATTCTGTTATCGGATTCATTCTCTTTGAATTTGGCTTTCAATGCGGTCACAAAATCTTGGAACGTTCCTTCCCGAACATCCCTAGGAAGAGTCTCCACTATAACCCGGGGTTGACCTGCTAGTTTTGAACATACCAAGTGGATAAGGATCTCATCGCTCAAGTTCAATCCATTATATTTAACCCTGAAGGAGAGCAGAAACTTTTCGAACTCTTTGCCCTGCGCGTTGTCAAATACCGGGACTTCTGGTAGCGCCATCGCCGTAAACGCGGAACACACAGCATTTGCCATCCCCATTTCAGAAGAGGGTATATCGTTCCTACCTTGGCAACTCCTCCTCAACGTGTTGTAGAGGGATCCCGGCAGCCTTGGCGGCTCTCTCGCGAGCTGCTCTCTCTGCAAATAGGGATTTGTTTGCCTCTGTGGCAATACATAACGCCTGCTCTGTGTTGCCGGCGCGATCCTATCACGCAGATACTCACCTCGTGCGGCAGCGATTGGGTCAAAATCGGCCAGCTCAAGGTTCTTCGGGACTTCATTGGAACGCACTTGCTTCAGCGCATTTTGGAAATTGCTCGCCATGGTGTCACTCGACTGTGCTTCACCTTGGTCCTGAAGAAGATCTGTAGTCGCTATTCCAGACTCTTCTCCCCCTATACGCGGCTCTTCTACTTGCGCGTTATCGACTACTGACCCTAGGATGCGCTGTACGCTTCCCACAACTTGGGTAGAATCTACTGCAAGCAGTTGTGATAATTTTCTCATCGCGTCATCGTCAAACCGCGCTTGCTCCAGGATTTCAACTAGGTCTTTCTCTAGCTGAAGGAGATCTACACTTTTGAACTTGTTTAGATCCTCCACCAATTGCTCAATTTTCCTGATCTCTACTTCCAGTCCCTCACAGGCGCTATCTATTTGCAAACAGTTCGCGCTAGTGCTCTTAGGGCTTCTCTTAGTTTCCGCTTTCCGCTTACCCTTATTCACTAGGTTTCGGATCTCTGTCACATACTCGCCCATTTTGACAGGTATAATACTCACCTGTGGGACCTGTTTCTCCGCGAGTTGACGCACTTGTTGCGTTAGGCTGGCAATTTGCGCTTGCATTTCTTCCATGCGCTTGCCTTCGTTGCCTTCCAACAAAAGCATGGCCTCCATCTCTTCGTCAATGGATTCGGCCATTTTCCCTGCAACAGGAACAATCAATCGTTGACTCGATAAACTTCCTATTATCGATCGACGAGGACGTTACTGCTTCACGCAATTCTGAAGCTAGTAAGTTCCGACGCTCCCTACTCACCCCACGGTGATGCAAGGTTCCCTCGTGCAGAGGTTCCCCTTTACGTGGGTCTGCTCACGGCCTCCACACACAGTCTGTGGATTGACCGGCACTTCACCCCACGGTGATTCCAGGTACCACCTCGATCAGAGGTTCCCGTACCTGTTTGTGCTTTAGAAGTCTTCCACAGACGACCTGTGGATCGACTAGCACAACTGCGTCCAAAAAGATGAGAACAGAAAAGAGAAGAAAAACTTTCCCCCGAAATAAAAGTTCGCAAGAAAAAGAAAGCTTCCCTTTTTTTTCAGTTTGGTTCGGCCCCCATGTAAAACAAAGAGAGAGAGATCTGGTGGTAGGTTCCCTTTTCCCCCTTGTGGAATAGCACAACCGTGGAATAAGAGTTTATCGACAAAAAACCACAAAATCAGTTAATTTTTTGAAGCACATAAAATCCCTCATATCTCGCGGCAACAGAAGACCTAGAAAAAAGTCGACGGTCTACGTCCTCGTCTATTCTCCATGATCTCAGCTTTCGAATGGCATAAAGCATGTTAGGGCTTTTTTTGCTTCCCGGCTTCTAAAAAATCATTTGCTCCGGTAACCGATAAAAGCCACTACATTGGTGGAGCTGGGTGGAGCAAGCTAATAGTAAATATCTCCACCCCCATTTTTGAAAACTGGTTAGTTTTTTCGCCCAGCAACCTATATACCATTCGAAAGCTCAAGGAAAGGGGTTTCGATCTAGGCCATGGACTTCTTTCTAGCCCCCCTCTACCCGAGAGATACAACCGCATTTTATATGAAAACATGGTCATTTTCAACAGCAGATTTCTGCCAAATGAAAACCTAATCACTGCTGATTATCTATCTGTGTTAAAGAGCAAGTCTTCATTAACAAACTTAGACCGTCCGACTTTCTCGTAGCATTCATTTGCAGAGCAGAAAGTGAGGACACAAAATCAGTTAATTTTTGAAGCACATAAAAATCCCTCATATCCTCGCGGCACAGAAGACCTAGAAAAAAATCGACGGTCTACATCGATTCTTCCATGATCTCAGCTTTCGAATGGCATAAAGCATGTTAGGGCTTTTTTGCTTCCCGGCTCTAAAAATCATTTGCTCCGGTGACCCATAAAAGCCAACACATTGTATAGGTCGTCCCGAAAATTTTTGCGCACGATTTTCAAAAATTTCATAATTTCTGATTTTTCCAACCGATTTGACTGCTTTCACCTTTATGTGAAAGGGTAAGTCATGCTCTTTATAATGACATAGTACTCTGCGTTGATACCACTGCTT